GGACAAGTTATATCAAAGGTTTACATGTCCAAACTAACTTTCAACCTGTCTCGGACAATCGGACATAAGTTTTGGCGCACCCTGTTTAATGTTCAGCAGTGATTAGCTAGTTTAGTAAGTCTCTGAGCTATCATTGGTTCATGGATGTGGATTGAGGAACACGAGTGTTGAGATTGGTGTATTCTGAGCTGTTTTAGATTCATGAATAAAGGGGATATGATTCTTTGGGTGTTATTACAAGATAATTTGGTTTGTCATCTAAGTTGATAGTATAAATTGGTTATCGTGACGAGTTTCTTAGCTTTCGAAACTCTTTTTTTTTTTGGCAAATTTACGTTATCGACTCAGTCAGTGACATTACCAAATTATCCTGTTTCTAGATTCAGATTACTAACTTTTTGAAAATGTGACAGACTGAGACGTTTATGCCACCATTTTGTTCACAGGTTGAAGTGGCCATAACGTTGGGAAAAGTCGTTCTGAATAACCCGCAAACCCAGAAGCTTTTGGCAGAACAGACGAAATTCCGCGTAGTTGAGCTCCTTCATCATCTCACCAACAAAGAAGAAACCGTTCGCCTTAAGGCTGGTATGGCGCTGGCTACTTTCGCCTACAACAACACCTCGCAGCAGTACGCCATTAAGAACGCTGGAGGAATCTCGCTGAAGGCTTTTGAGGAATTCTTGGGGTCTGAGAACGAACTTTACCAGGCCCACGCAGCTTTTCAGATCATAGTCCTGGCACGTGTGATTGATAGTGATCAGGTGAACCTAACAGCACGAGGCGTGGAATTACTAGTGTGCTTGCTCAGTTCTGATCAACACAGTACGCAGATACTCGCCGCCAGTTTGACAGCCAGCCTCGGTCACACACGTGCTGGTGTTCCTGCGGCACTTATCACAGCCGGTAGGTTTAACCCTTTAGCTAACAGTGACCGACTCTAAATATTCTATATTTTACACCTATTTTTTTTTTTTTTATTTTCCTTTGTGCTCTTCAGGTTCAGTGGAGGCACTCCTGACCAATCTCTCCTCACCAAACGAAGAAGTCCGTAGCAGCGCTGCGGTTGCCCTAGGATACCTGTCGTTCGACCGCACGGCTTCCCGTCTGATGTTGCAGGCATGTCGAAATACTCCGGGTCTGCTGGAGTCACTGGTGGATAACCTTGGTAACGGGAAGGTATCCATGGAGTTTATGGACGAGTGGAGGCAGACCAAGATGGTCGGACTGCCCTCCGCTAGGTATGTCACTTCGTATCCTGCTGTTTATAATACCAAGGGTTGGGTTTGGGTTCTAAAGGTTACTTCCTACCTTCAGAGGCCGAAAAAAATCGTTTTTGTTTTTATTTGGACTAGATTAAAGTTAGACATTTTAACTCACGTTTACAGAAAAAAAAATTAAAAATCTCAAAAAGCGTCCGACTTATTTAGAAAAATGTATTTTCAAATAAAAGTTCATAAATCAGGAAGGTGTCATAGGGCCTGATTACATGAGCCGGGCTGGCCCTGTTAGCCGGGCTGATTTCTTTTGTTTTGGTGTTCGCCAAAGCGTGAAAACAAAAGAAAGCCCGGCTAACCGGGCCAGCTCGGCTCATGTAATCAGGCCCATAATCTCGTAAATGGGCGAATGTTCGCGGCAATTTCATGTCGTTTGCATATTTTGTTTACATCGCGCACTTGACAAAATTCACACGTGGAAGTTATCTGCTCGTGGAAAGTCTTTTCTCATGGATAAAAAAACATAACTCAAAATTAGAGAGGAGTCCTTGGGTAAAGAAAAAGAAAAAATAACAGCCACAAAAAGAGAGAAATGGCAGCATTTTGTCCAAAAAANTTTTTTACGTGGTGTCCATTTACGCAACACGTTTCGCATATTTTTCGCTACAACAACTTTTGATGGGAATATCTAGACAACCAATCAGAATGTCGAAAAAGTCTGACACAGTTTTGTTGATTGATGCCTTGTGAATGAGACTGTGCAGCCATTTTTTTTCGTAACGCGGGATCCGATACCCGATAAATTCAGTAGAAGGACCCTCGGTCGTTTCAGGCCGTACCGGCTCCTGACACTTTCTATATGAAAAAATCGCCTAAATTATATTCTCATCGTAAACTGCATTTATGAAGCTTTGTTTTGAGGTATAATTTGTAAGGATTTTCTTAAAACTAGCGCGCGTACGAATATTTTCCCTAAGGACACCCGCGAAGGTAGGAAGTAACTGTAATTCTTCAAAACAATACCCTACTCACGTTTCTTTTATTAAGAATGCCATGCTCAGATCAAATAGTCCCTTCCTTTTTTTTTTTTTTTTTTTGACATAGTGCAGATACCGGAATTCCATTGACAGTACTGGAAAAAACGCCATATCATTAGTTATGCTCACAAGTTTGAGAGCGATATATTACTTAAAAACTACCCAAGATACTTCGCTACGTCGTGTAGTTTTACAACGTTGGTATCATGGGAACAAGTGCACCCTTCTTTGCCGCAGTTTCTTCATTTTGTTAATTACAATATGAAAATTCACCAGTAATTTTATTTGATTTTCTTTTACGAAAGTTTGGAGATCCATGGAGGGCCTCCAGTACCACAGAGATTACCACCTGAAGAAAGTAAGTCTGCGTTCTTAATAGGATATGTCTCTCAGACTATTTGTGTTCGTGTCAACCTTTTCCAAGAGAGCTGGAGGTTTTCAATATACTTACAAACCTAAAGGGCCATGACAAAACTGACGTGTAGGCTAGGAAATTCCCCCAACATTGTTTACTAACTCATTTAGTAATTTGAGTCATCGGATACGGCGCTAGTTCTAGATACTGGAATATTATTTTGGTGAAAGTACATGTAGAAGGCAATCATATGCTTGGTTTCAATTCACAGCTCCAGAGTCGTCTGAGAGGTTCAGTTTGTGATGAAATAAACCCGCCAGTCTGTAAGGAAATTTTGCGGATTCACCTTCAAACTATTGCTTTGGCACCAGCACCGAGACACCATTTTTCTGATTCATGTAAATCTCTGGAAGAAACGCTTTGCACACCAATCACTGTTCTGTTATTGCGTGGGTTTGTCAGCTTCATTTTTAGTTTGCCTGATCAGACCGTTTGCTTAGTTCTCAGAAAAATATGCAGAAAAGATTTTGCACCGGAGGAAATGCAGTGGTGCTCCTGTGTAGCAAACTATGTAAACCAAGATGCGTTTATGAGGCCCCCTGGTACTTTGTTATATCGGGGTTTCACACCGTAGCCAAAAATTACTGAACAGATGTCTTAAAAACGCCTTTTTTTCCTTTAGGAAAACGCAGGCCTCGCACAACTCAAAGCATTGGCTCTTTCCGACGCTCTCGACACCAAGACATAAAGAGAGTGGCCTCGGCACCAGTGGTTGTAAACAGCTATCGCAATCAAGTAAAGGCTGGCATTGTCAGAGCTATGTTGCCTCGCTCTGAGTCGTCGCACCTGAGAAGCGCTTTTGGAGCAGCAGAGATGTGGCGATCTAAATTACTAACGTCCAGGCCTACTCTTGAAAAAGGATTTTCCAGTAAGAGTTCTTGACCACATAGTGGGGGACTTCAGTGACACTGAATTGACGGTGGCATGACTGGAAGAATTGCTGCTGTGGCCGCCATTATCGCAGTTGTCAGATATGGCGTGTGCGCCACGCGTTTTCATGGACTTTTTCAAAATATAACTCTGCCGTGTTAGTTTAGACAGGAGTCTGCTTAAGGGTGTACGAAGGAAATTTGCACCAAAACTAGTAGTAAGACTCCCCCACCCCACCCCTTAGCGAATATTAAGTCTTTTTCACTACGCACAAATTAAATTGTCAGGTCATAGTGCTAACTGATTGAATTACGAAGTCAAAATATATTCATGGCATTAGTATTTCGCCAAATAAAATTCCAATCGGCCGATTTCTTTGTCTCGTCCCAGCTGACCATTGTCTGCCATTGTCGTGCTCTAATAATAATAATAATAATAATAATAATGTCCATGGGGCGTAGGTCAATTTTTAAAGAAGCGGCTAAGTGCGCGGAGAAGTTGTAGCTGGAGTTGGATTTGGAACACGCGCAAGGGATCAAGAAAGAGGTGCGGAGGTGCCAAATTGAGAAGTTAGAGGACGAGATCAGAAACCAACGATGGCAAGGGCGCCTAGTGACTATTAGGCTGGTGGATGAGAGTTTGAGTGCCGATGGGTGTTTCTGGTGGCTCACAGAGTGGAAGAACTGCTCATCACACACAGTGGCTGGACTCGTCGAGCTATACGAGCAGCTATTGCCAACGCGAGTATACACGAGTCAGAAGACTCACACAAGCGGGGAAGGCGAGGTGAGGTGCAGATTATGCGGCAAGGCTCCAGAG